AAAAAATTACTTTTTATTTTTTTTTGGCTTTGTTTGTAAATGAAAAATTACCAAAAAATTATGGAATGTACCTTACTAATGCCCAGGTAAGTGTGAAAAAATTCAACAATTTTATTTAATTAGAAGTGGAGATTTCTTTTTTGCGCGTAACCGATGCCCCACCCGGTATAACAAAAATCAAAATTGTTTTCTTGAAGAACAATAATAACATTTTTCATTTTGGAAAAACGGTATTATGACAGGTGTGACTTTATCCACTTCTTTGTTTAGTTATTGACAACGTATGTCACCTAAAAAAATAGTTGAAAAAAAACTGAATAATTATTTCATCGGTGACACAATTTTACAGATATAAACTAGAATTGTGGTACCTAATTTTGACTCTTATCAGATATAAAAAAAATCAGAAATTTCAAATGTATTTTTTAATTTTTAAGTGAGCTGTGACTTTGTAATAGTCAAGGATTTTTAATTTAACGTAGTAACTATGGTAATGGTATTTTATTACTTTATTTGACGTTTGTTACCATAGAAACGGATAATTTTCATTTTTTTACGTTGGCATCGACTTTATTTACTGTAGTAACCATGACAACAACGTCAAGTTTGAAACTTTGCTAGAAAGAATTGAAAAAAAAATTAAAATGGTTTGTTTTATTGAAGAACACTGATAAAATGTGATTGTATTAATAACAAATATTGTTTCGGTATTTTTTAAAGTACATTTTGAACAATGAAATGCGTCCTAAAAAGCATTATTGGGAAATGTCAAATCCACTACATAGTTATCGACAACGTATATCTCCTAAACTCGTTTAAAAAATTAATTGTAAAATATCATTAATTATTAAATTATGATTAAATAAATAATGACAATAATGTTATTGGTTGCACTTTCTAATGGACTCTGATTTTTTCCTTAGGATTTTCTCAGTCTATAGTCCGAAGAAAGTTTTTCTCATAAATATTAAAATTCTAGTTGTTTCCTTTTATGGCACATTTTCATCCAACCGCTTCAACTGAAAACGAAAAAATCACAGGACCGTATTAAAAATTTCGCCCCCCTCTTACTTCCTTCTCATCGGAAATGGTATACCGTTCCACGATCCTCATTGGTCCGAGATTCGGTGCCGCTAGGACATGTTTATAGATCAAAGCGGCGGCAACCCCACCCAGGACCGGTCCGGCCCAATAAACCTACAATTATATTAAAAAAAAAAATCGAAAAATTGGGGTTTTTACCCAATGATCGGTCCAATTATTGACAATTAAAGCCGACCCAAAACTCCTCGCTGGATTCATACTAGCGCCTGTGTAGTCAACAGTGGCCAAATGGCCCACAGCTACGGCCATTCCTATGGCTAGAGTCGCAGCAGGCTTGGCTTGGGGCTTATTGGGGTCGCAGACCCCACAAATGACCAGAATTAACACAAAACCCAGGAAAAATTCCACGCCGAAGCCTTGAATTGGGGTAAAACCCTTGCCCAATTGCGTGTTGCCTAGATTTTCGTGCAAGGCTTCGGGGGTTAGGGCCTGAAATAAAAAAAAAACTCATGAGTAGTATACAATATTTTTTATATAAACGTGAAAAAATTACTTTTAAGACCGCTGATCCGGCCAAGGCCCCCAAACATTGCACAATAATATAAAGTATGCCTTTGACAATTCCAATGTTGCCAATTGCCATCATGCCGGCGGTAACAGCCGGGTTGATGTGACCACCGCTCACATGCTCAAAAGTCTGGAAAAGTAAGGAAGTGAGTGTTTTCCGCCCTTGTTTGTCGTTTCATTCAGTGTTGCTAGCTTAAAACAATTAAATTCACCAAATTTGAGCTGAAAAGTCACCAGATTTACTGTCAAAAACACAAAAACGTGCTTAACGCTTGAAAATACAGAAGATTTAATCTAATTCTATACTTTTTTGGCTAGTTTTAATTGAATTTTGGGAAATACTGGGTGACAAAAATTCTATTGGCAACACTGAATTAGTGGTAATCCTTCTAAATTTGTTATATGAGAATGTTTCAGATGACGGCTAAATCAGCAGTCGCCCGTCGCAAATGAATGTCAATTGTCTATAAAAATTTGACGTTTGAATTTGAAAGTCAGGGTTGCCAAATTAAATTTGACACCAAATCATTTACAGTCACCCGATATCTACGTTTTTACTTGAAAAACATGCTAAAACACTTTATAAAAGCAAAAATAATGACTTAATTTGATGTTTTTTTGGTTTGTTTTAGCAAAATCTTATAATTAACACCATTTTCTACCATATTTTGTATTTTTTGTCATATTTTTTTGACACTGGTTCAAAACGAACTAAATCGAGCGAGACACTCAAAAATTATATTAATTTCAATCTAATTTGTGAATTTTTCAATCAATTTTAGGAAAAATTTGAATGTATTTTAAAAATGTGCTTAAACCATCGAAAAATTCATTTTATTTAGTCTAGTTCTGTAATTTTTTGGATAGTTTTTAATTAAATTTTGCGAAATACCGGGTGATAAAAATCTATTGGCAACACTGAATTAGTGGTAATCCTTCTAAATTTGTTATATCAGAATGTTTCAAGTGACGGCTAAATCAGCAATCGCCCGTCGCAAATGAATGACAATTGTCTATAAAAATTTGACGTTTGAATTTGAAAGTCAGGGTTGCCAAATTAAATTTTAAATTTGACATCAAATCATTTACAGTCACCCGATATTTACGTTTTTACTTGAAAAACATGCTAAAACACTTGATAAAAGCAAAAATAATGACTAATTTGATGTTTTTTTGGTTTGTTTTAGAATTATCACCATTTTCGACCATATTTTGTATTTTTTGTCCTATTTTTTTGACAAAATTTCACACAAAAAGAGCTAAATCGAATGAAACAAACGAAATAACATCAATTTAGATTTATTTTTGTTGTGTTTAAGCATGTTTTGTCAATATCTTGCAAAATAAATGAGTCTCTGGTTCAAAAACGGACTAAATCGAGCGAAACACGCTAAAATGATATCAATTTCAATCTAATTTGGTAATTTTTCAGTCAATTTTAGCAAAAATTTGAATGTTTTTAAAAACGTGCTGAAACACTCTAAAAATGCAAAAATAACACTAGTTTTGGCCTAGTTTGATAAATTTTTGGTTTGTTTTTAACGAAATTTTTCAAAATAGTTTTGTTTTTGGCCAAAAACATACTAAAACGCTCAGAAATGGACAAAATAATGTACTTTTTGTCCCATTTTAGCGTTTTTTACCTTGCTGAGGTAAAATAAAACTAAAAACTATCTCTCGATTTTTCAATTTGTTTTTGAGAAAATTTAGCATTTGAGATTCTAAAAAAACGTGCAAAATGCTCAAATAAATCCAAAAAAAATAGTGTCATCATTTTTGACTGAATAAAAAAATCAAATTAAGAACGTTAATTTTACGAATAGTCGATTAAAAAAAATATTTCAAAACACATTAATTTTTTGCTTGAACTACCGTTACGTTTTTAAAAAAATCATCAAAAATTAGAATTTTTACAAAAATTTTCACCAAATCTTTAAATTAGTATAAAAATCACCACATTACTTGAGCTAGAATGAAAATAACTAGTCCAAAAGTGAGAGCAATTAAGACTGGGCTTGGGGATTCCCCCGAAATGTGGGTACAGGAAGCACAACCGAAGAAGTTGAGGAGGACATTAGCGAGAAATTCCGCTAAAAGTGCTTTCCAAATTGTCTTCTTGTTCATTTCGTTGATTCCGAGAGTTTCGTGGAAGTTTCCCATTCTGAAATTAGAGGAAATTAAATTGAATCATTCTGTTTTTTTTTTAAACACCTGTATGTTCCAGGAGAGTAATTTTGTATTGCTATAATTACTAGTCATGCAGATGAATCAAAACTAGATTCCGTCACGAATCAAGTTCTTTTCTTTGTTGCATTAGAAAGGTTCCGAGAAAACATGATTGGAATTTTGATTTTTTTAGTTTGTTTGAAGAATTAGTAGTTTTACATTTTGGAGTAAGACTTTTTACCAACTTTTGCACAATCCAACGATATTGAAAATTTTAAAAATGAAATTTTGGTATTTTTCAGTTTTTTTTTCAATTCACTAAATTAGTAAAAAAATTATATTAAAATTAGAAGAAATCGACCGATATTTTTTAATTTT